AGAGAGAGAGAGAGAGTGCAAGCAACCAATACAAGCTCACTTTTATATTTTCATATAGGGTCAACAAACGATGACTGATCGGGATTAGAAAGAATCTTCAAGACCGATTCCTTCCTTCTGTTTGCCCTAATTTCCCTACTCGACCTATACAAAGCTCTTGTTTCTCTTGTTGGTAAAAGGGTCTTTCAAATGAAAACTAATGCTTGATGTCAAACATTTTGGCGCCAGGAGTTAGTAGAAAACTATTCTTTCCTTCTTAATTGAAATATGTTTTATTTGTCTTTTCTTTTCTTTTTTTTTCCTTTTTTTTTCAGTAAAATACATTGCCGAAAAAGAGAAATTTAACACTAGATTTATCAACAGACCAGTCAAAATGACTGTTCTTTTACAATTTTACTGCACGTAACACTTTCTTTCCGTAATAATTATATCATGACTTTTGTAACTATAACTAAAGAATTACTTTTATGAACTTTATATTATTTTATATATATTTGTAAGAAATATATTTTTTACTATTGTTAATTTTACCTAACTAAACATTTTATTTTAAAAACACTCAATCATTTTGACTGATTTTGGTAGAAATAGATATATCAAAAAATAACTGGTAAATCTAATATTAAATTATTCCACAAATTATCATTTATAAAAATTGATTATTATTATTATCCCTTTATTGTAATTTATCTAACAAACGTATTCTTAAATATCCTAATTTCTCGAAAGAGATTTAATCCGAAGGATTTTAAAGCTTACAAGAAAATCTTAGCATATATCTCTCTCTCTCTCTCTCTCTCTTTCTCTCTCTTCGATAAATCGTTTATTCTCGCCGTCAAGAAAAAACGCCCATTTACGTCACTTTCTCAGCATCTAACGGAGCAAGGTAGCTTGAAAAGGGCTTCTATAGCAAAGACATTAGCTCACTTTATTCATACGAGTAGCTGGCGCACGCTCTTGAAAGACTTTCGGTCGGCTTGTAAGCAGTAGGAAAAAAGAAAAGAAAACAAAAAAGTAGAAAGAAAGAAAGAGAGAAAGAGAGAGAGAGAGAGAGAGAGAAAAACATAAGAATAAAAATAAGAGAAAGAGAGATAGAAAAGGACAAGGAGAATTTCTAAAGGGCATACTATGGGTCTTATTTCTCTCGAACACTTTAAATCTCCCAAGAATCTGGAAAAGAAGGGTTTAGTCTCTCCCTCTCTCTCTCTCTCTCTTTCTCTATTTTATATGAAAAGCAATGAACACTGGAGGGAGAAAGAGAGAAGAAGACGGGGGAGAGTGTGGGGGAATATTTTGTCTATTAGCTTGGTAGAAAAAAAAGGGTTCGACGATTTTTCGAGGAGCATTTTCTGGGTTCGTGAACAAACTGGATCCAATCTCAATTTTCGTCCATCTTCTATCTTTCTCTCTTACCCCCTCACCCCTCCTCCCGTTTCCCCCGTTCCCCTGTTACCCTTCCCACAACTATTTCTCTTAGATCTTCTGGATGCTAGTAAACGTAGAAGAAGTTGGGCTTTAGCTTGGCAGGATGTAGGTGAAGCGTGTATAACTCTACTACAATTCTTTCTCTCTCTCTCTCTCTCTCTCTCTCTCTTTCTACATGTTCCCCTTTTTCTATACCACACGAAGAAACTAGAGAAGAAGAAGACGAAGACGAAGAAGAAGAAGAAGAAGAAGAAGAAGAACAGGAGGAAGAGGAGGATGAGGATGAGGAAGAAGAAGAAAAAAAAAGAGAAAGAGTGGTCCCCCATAACAAAGGTCGGCCTGCTGGTCGCACACCACGAAGAAGAGCAAACGACAAGGAAGGAAAGAAGGCAAGCAAGCAGGCAGGCAGGCAGGCAACCAAGCAAGCAACCATTGACATATCCAGCTTGGACCCTGGCTAAGGACTAGATTTCACGAGCCAGCGATGCAGGATCCTTCAAAGGGTGCCGACTCAACCACCGCAAAAAGGAGAAAGGTTCACAAGTAGAAAGAGACTGGTTAGATGAACAGAGATAGACCAAATACATGATCTTTAATCAGAGCAAATAGAAAGAGGAACTGCTGCTGCTGCTGTAGCTGCTGATGCTGATGCTGATGCTGATGCTGTTGTGGCTGCTGAGTTATATCGCGATGTAAAAAAAAGAAAGAGAATCAAATTTTGTAACGATAATTTTTCTGAACGATTCCTAAAAATGTATAGTGTTTTGAATATTACAAAAAAATGTATGTCTATTTAAATAAAAAAAAGATGCTAAACTTTAGAGATTAAGTTGCTGAAGAAGTCCCAATAAAGGGACCAATTAATCAAAACGAAGTTCTAGTTCTTGTGAATGTCCAAATTCCCTAAGATATCTATTTATTAATAATTTTATTTTTCGAAAGACGAGAGAAACAACTAATTGATTCCAAAAAGGATTTACTTTGTTTTTTTTCTTCCTTTAAATAGAAACGAAATAACGCGATATGATTTCATATATAATATATTATATTATAATCAAAAGAAACGGAAAAAAAAAAGATGTGACAACTCAAAGAGATAAAAGAGCAATTCTATATAAAAAAAAAAAAGAAGAAGAAAGTAAAAGGGGTGATAAAGAGACAAGGCAAAGTTAAAGGACGACTAAGTTATATTACTCGGGCGGAGTCTTTTGACTGGACTCGAGTCAAAGAGGAAAAATGTCAGACAAAGAATGATCAACAATAAAGAAAAGGTTAAAATATGATGAAAAAGAGTGGAAAAAAAAAAAAAAAAAAAAAAGAAGGATGGACAGCTGTATTTAACAAAAATTTCTAACGAAAAGAGTAGTCAAGGGAAAGCGGGGTGAGGGGGGGGGGCAAAGGTTGTTAGTAGAAGAAAGAAAGATAGAAAAGGAAGTTCTTCTGAAAGTAAGAGAGAAAAAAAAAGGAAAAATAAAGGAAAGAAAAGGAAAGGAAAGGAGGAGGAGGAGGACTACTTGACAGCAAAATCCGTCGCGATAACTTAATCCCAGGATTACTCTCCTCTGCGGTTGGAATCCTTGCGGAAATCCGATCGTAGGCCGCTTGGCGTTCCTGACGTAACCTCTTTCTTTCTCTCTCATTCTTTCCTTCACTTTCATCCTAGTTTCTCTCTCTCTTTCTCTCTCTCTCTCTCTCTTTCTTTCCCTTTCGAAAAAGATAGGAAAGAAAACGGGACGAGCACAACGTTGTTCGGTTTCCGGTTACTCGAGGCGCCTCCTCAGGGCCGGTTTCCTACACATTCCCATAGCACGCCATTGGATCGGACCGGACCCGACCGGATGGACGGACGGACGGACGGATGGACAATCTATCGATCGATCGATTCTTTCGATTAATTCCAATTCGTGCTCGATTCCTCTGGCCCTGTTATACCTTCGTACCTTATAGGCCAGTCAATAAAGGGCAAATAAGAATTTTGAGAGCTTAAAAAATGCAAATTTGATATTTATGGTAATTCGAATGGTGCAAATTTTGTTGCAATTGGATAACGCATTTCCGAGAAAAAGGGTATAGAAAAAAGGGTAAAAAACGGGCGTATCTTAGAATCTAGACATTTAATCGAAAAAAGTTTCAAACAAAAGTTGTGCGCAATTGAAAAATATATAAAAAATGTTGTAAGGTGTATCTTCGTATTTGCAAAAATAAGCGAGAAAATGAAGGTGAAAGATCGTCATCCTACCGTACCGTAACGTAACGTAACGCGTCAGAGTTCTGGTCTTATCTCGATCTCGATAAAAATGAAGATTTCCAACTCGAGCTTGTAAACTTGATCAAGAATGACGTTCCCTGACTTTGTTGTTGACTTCGCTTATGTATATATTATCTCTTTTTTAATCTATTTTTCCTTTTTTCTCTTACAAACAACCACGGTGTTTAACGTGTGCTTGTTCTTTTACATATAGATCATCGATGTTTCTAGATCAAAGGTTTAGTTTTTTTTTTTTCTCTCGACCAGGTCAAGGTACCCAATGATTTTTTGTTTAATAATAATAATATAGAACAAGTATTAGTATTACTATCGTAATTTTGATTTGTTTGTTTTATCATTTGCGAGTGGAAAGAAAGCATAATTTATGTAGGAAAGTAAAAAGCCATTAATCGGGATCGATAAATTGGCTAATAATACTTAGAAGTTATTAAGTAAGTAAGTAAATAAGTAAGTAAGTAAGTAAGTAAGTAAGTAAGTAAGTAATTATTTTGTTGGCGTTACGTACAGTACTTACAAAGCCGTGCTTGTCGCTGATGTTGTTCGTGAGCTTGAGTTTATGGAAGCTCACGACTTTCTGCATCCATTGTTCCCCGCTGCTGGGTGAATCCGGATGAATGTACATTCTCTTCGGCATTTCTGGATCAGCCTTACCGGCTACCATCCACCTGCTGCTCCATCGATAACGATTAAGAGCACAAAACAAGAATATGGTTAATACATCAAATCGACTTTCTTTTTGCATCTTTCGCGAGATATTTACAATTGTGAAATATGATCCAGTGAAATGTAAAGATCTCGCAAAAGATCAAAATTAATCGATATCAATTAACACCTGTTCGATACACGTGTGTCGACATTAAAGATAATTAAATGTATATTAATATTAATTGAATTCGATTGAAAAACGCTAATAATGTCCACCCATTATATCGATATGGTGTGTTAATATAAATAATAATTAATGAGATATCTAAATCGAGAAACAGACCACATAACGAAAAGATTTTGTCATTTATCATTAATATTAAAATATATTAATTGAAAGAGATCGTATTGCAATTGAAAATATTTCTATCTATAAAATAACACATTCAAATAATTAAAGAATATATTATAGAAGAAAAAATTGAACAAATAAAAAGAATTAGATCCGATTAGAAGAAAAACAAAACAAACAAACAAAAATCCCGTAGAGAAGATGTAGATGAATACATTTCAAAGTTTCATCGTCGTCATCCAAGCTCACACAGGTGGGTCAAAATCGAAAAAACGTTTGATGCGTGTAACCCGAAAGAGGAAGAACAAACGACAAAATGAATGGAACGAAAAATGGAAATGAACAAAATAGAAAAAAAAATAGAAAAAAAATAATATAAAAAGTAATAGACGAAAAATAAGAAAAATAAGTAAAATAAGAATAAGAATAAGAATAAGAATAAGAAGAAGAGAACTCGTTCGACAAGTTCCAAAGTGGCCTGTGGTCGGCGGCGTGATGTAATCGTTCATTGTGGTCTGCCTTTCGATTGCCCGCCCGTGTAAGAGAGACGCCTAGCGAGAACTTTTCTTTTAGAAAAGGAGAAGAAGAAGAAGAAGAAGAAGGTGGTGAAGGTGGAGATGGAGGTGGTGGTGAAGGTGTAGGAGGGCAAAGAGGAAGAAGAATGCGCGCGCGCACGCGCGAGACACCTCCAATAAAAAAAATGAAGATCCAAATATGATCCTTCTTACTACTACTATTACTACTACTATTACTACTACTTACGATTACTATATATCACCCCTGTTGTACACACTTTACTATGAATCAACCCCTAAATCATATTATAATGAAACTCTTTATATTTTCTGTATTTCTTTATTATTACTCGATTGTTTAATAATTATCATATCAAAAGAATTATTCAAAATAATAACGTCGAATAATTAATTATATTATAATATTTTAATTATATAAATAATTATATAAATTAATAATATAAATAATTATATAAATTATATATATATTATAATATTATAATAATATTAAATGAATTGAAAGTTAGATATATAGAAGAAGAAAATTAAAAGAAACAATAAGAACAAATGATTCGATACAATTTCTAGATATTTGTAATTTTGGTCTTTATAGGAAGGGGGCAGGTGGGAATGATGGGGCGGGGGGAAGGATACGGAAACAATTTTGGGCTACGATTACCTTCCTTCTTATTCCCTCCTCCTCCTCCCACTGTTCGTTCTCGCAGTTATCGCGAGGCATCATCTCTCTCGAGGCCCATGCAATGTGAAGGCTTGTTGCGATCCCCATACTAGTCGAAAGAATTTTCCCAGAAAAGTTACGCCCTCGCGTGATATCGTGAGAAATTAAATATATGTATATGTATATATATGTATACATACATACATACATACATACATACATATATATGTACATATTCTACCTTGTTTTTTGCATCAAATATTTCTTTTCTTTTTTTTTTTTTGGCCACCCTTTTTTTTCTTCATCCTTCTAAACACAATCTAATCATCGGCCAACATCCCTTTCGCGTTAACCTTTTTGTTTTTTTCTTTTTTTTTTGTTCTCATCGAGTAAAGAACAAAATTAAAAGTATAATCGAAATATGAAAAAAAAAAAAAAAAAAAAAAAAAAAAAAAAAAAAAAAAAAAAAGAAAATTGAATTGAATATATTTGATGAAACAATTGAAAGAATTTAATGTTAATAAGTAATATGATCGACGAGTATGAGGAATTGTTCGCNCCCTTTTTTTTCTTCATCCTTCTAAACACAATCTAATCATCGGCCAACATCCCTTTCGCGTTAACCTTTTTGTTTTTTTCTTTTTTTTTGGGTTATCAAAATTAAATATTTTTTTTAAAAGGATGCGAGAGAGAAGAAACGGTTTAAAAAAAAAAAAAAAAAAAAAAAGAAAAAAGAAAATTGAATTGAATATATTTGATGAAACAATTGAAAGAATTTAATGTTAATAAGTAATATGATCGACGAGTATGAGGAATTGTTCGCAGAGCACGCTTCACACATTCAAGTAGAGCTTTCTAATTTCGATCTTGATTTAATTTGATTTTTTTTGGATTTCATTCAAGAAAAAAAAAAGACAAGAAAAAAATAGACAAGAAAAATCAACTACGATCGCATTAGATTCGCTAGATCAGATCCATCGTTTAAAATGATCCCCAACGTGATTTTGATGGATTTATAGTAATGGTCGCGAGCGCTAAAGGCGACCATGTTTTCTTTTTTTTATCACCTGTTATGAAACTTATATCGGCACTCGTCCGATGCCACGATGTCCATTAGCAGTATGTAGCTAGCTTGCCTGTCTAACCCGGACACCCTCACTTTATACGCGGGAAACATGCGTCTGCGAACAATTTTGCAATCGCAAAAAGAAAGACAAGGTCAATTAGTTTTACCGTTCACCGTTTTCTTTCTTTTCTCTCTCTCTCTCTCTATTTTTTTTATTTTATTTTATTTTTATATATTAATTTAACTTCATCTTATTCGTTTGGTTTTCATTTTGTTTTTTTTTTTTAATCTCCTTGCCCTTCCGTCATCGATCAAATGACTACACATATACACATATACGTACACACCTGTTACAACAACTCGTCTCGAAAGATCCTTATGAAATTGTTTTTTTGGTCTTCAATATATATATATATATGTATCTCTTCCTCTCTCTCTGTCTCGTTAGTTGCAAAAATAAATAAATAATTACTATTAAGAGGAATCACGTAAGAAATGATTTTCTTTTTAGCTAAATAAATAGTAGTGGTTTTCTAGTTTACCGGTTTGGATGGGAAACTAACTAACGAATAGAAAAAGTCTGATAGGTTGCTCCTAATTAACGGGATATATATATATATATATATATACCTAATTGTATAAACTTTCAAGATTCGTACTGTAAATGTTTTTTTTCTTTTTGATTTAAAAAAAAAAAAAAAGATGATATCTCTCTGATAGATAATTTTTCATTAGGATCGTTAAAAACGAGTTGCCAATTATGTCGATAATAATTCTATTCTTTTCTTTTCTTCTCTCTCTCTCTTTCTCTATAATTTTCTCTTTCTTTCTTTCTTTTCTCCAAGTTTCTTCGAGCTAACTCGAAAGCTCTACCTGTTGTGAAATTTGTATCTGTAGTCGTCAGCAGCAACGATGTCCAATAGGAGGATATACTTGGCCTTGGAATCCAGACCGGAAACTCGGAACTTCATTTGAGGGAACATCTGCCTGGACCCCCGATCAACACCGAAAGTACGATTACATTACATCTTATTATTATCATTATTTTTCGACAATTATTCTTGTTGTAAGTATAAATGGATCTTTCGAAAAGTTATTCATGAGATATTAACATTTTGATTATTAACGAGAATTATTATCCAACTATGAGAGACACATGAATAAATTGTGTAATCTTGTAATTGTAAGAATTGTATATATCTTTTTATAAAAATATGTTATTTCCATATATTAGGGTGAATCAGAAATTCGTGCGTTTACTTTGAAATTGCATTGTGGATTGTTTTTTTGTTTAATTTATCTTAGAGATATTAATTTAAAACGTACGAAGAACTTTTAATTCACCCTAATACTAATCGAAAGATCCAAATATAAGAGAAAAATATACAAGAAGAAATATGTATAAAAGATATTCAATTTGTTGCATTATCCAATAAAACGAGTCGAAGAGAAAATGAAAATTTTCTAATTTCTCGAAATAGGAGAAAACTGCATAGGTAACGTCCAATACTAACACACATACTAATCATTTTCATTATTTTTGCTTTAAGTTTAAATGAATCTATCGAAAAGTATCCATATGATACTTTAACATGGATTAACATTTTGATTATTATCAACGACAATTATAAATTATTCCTTTACTAAAAACTGCATCTTTTATAAAAAAAAAATGTATTCTTTTCTAATACTAATCAAAAGACTTCCACAAAAATATAAGAAAAAAATAAATATAAAAGATATTCAATTTGTTGCATTATAGTAGATCGACGTATCCAATAAAACAAATCAAAGTATAACGCGTTTTAAGAGAAATTGAAAATTTTCTCGAAGTAAGAGAAAACTACATAGGTAGATACGTACGTACTTACATACATACATACATACATACATACATACATACATACATACATACATACATACTAAGGTACATAAGAAGTCGGTAGTGAAAAGTGGATTAAAAAGAAGGTCGACGACCGTAAGACGAGTTCTGCGGGAGCGTAGGGTCAGAAAGTGATTCGTGCGATCGTCATAAAGTAATCCGAGAAGCGCGTCGCTTCCTGTAAGATAAACTTCGTGGTCTGCTTCGTTGATGTGCTGGTGCTTCTCCAGAAAGAAAGAAAGAAACAAACAAACAAACAAACAAACAAATAAAGAAAGAAAGAATAAAAGAAAGAAAGATAGAAGGAGTCACGTCGTCAGTTCGAAGACGACAAGGATGCACGATGGAATCCTGAAAGGTCGGAATAGAAACGTGCACGAGTCAATCTCAAGTCCTGTCAGACGACGACGACGACGACGACGACGACGAAGACGACGACGACGACGACGAAGACGACGAAGATGAACGCCGGATGCTGGAAAACGCCGAAGAAGAAGAAGAAGAAGAAGAAGAAGAGGTGAAGAAGAGGAAGGAGGGGGGGAGGGGGGAGAGAGAGGAGAATCAAGCAAGCGCGTTCCCGCGGAATAAAAAGCAGATCTCGTTTCATCTCTTTCTTTCTATCTCGAGTAAACATACACATACATGTATAGAATATATTGTATCATGCATGTAAACGCGTTTCAATGTATCTGAGTTAACCTGTATAAAAGGTGGGAGGGACGGGGTAGGGAAAGATCTTTGAGAAGATAATACACGTTCAAAGTTATCGAGATGTTTTGACATAGTAGACAATATTGCAACCAATTGTTTATATCTTTTTTTTTCTATCTTTAATTGTGTAAGAAATATTGGACGTTTTTTCTTTCTTTTTCAATTAGGAAATTATCGTGCTCTGCAACAAATCAAATATCGGTTTTATAATTAGATTATTCTTCGTTTGGTCAAACATTTTTTACCTATAAAAATAAAATTAATAATATTATATTCTAAGAGAGATTTATAATTAATTAATTGTAAGTATATATGAAAAATTATTAATTTTCAAACGCATAGATATAGATAATCCTAAAAGTCAATATAAATTACACATACAAATATACGACAAAATAATTAATTAAATATAATATCCTTAAGAATACATTTTGTACCTTGAAATCTCAAAAAAAAACAATTTACAATCTTGACGTATTGTTTTACACCTGAAAAAGAAAAACAGAACAGAATCGTTCCATAAATATAAAAAATAAAAAATACGTACAATATATATTATATATATATATAGTTTGAAAATAATCTAAATACATTTCTAGATGGATATTGAAAATGTATCAATAATCAAATCGAGGAAAGACGATTGATTTGACTTTTATGATTTCATTCGAAAGGCTCTCATGGCTAATAGCTTTAGCCTCGACACAAATAGCAAGCGGGACGTTTCTTTAACGAGCCGAAAACTTTAACGTCTAACCATTCGTACAGTCTTTCTTTCGAGTTCACCTCGAGCGTTTGTTAAAAGAGAATCTTTTTGAATAAAATTACCTACGAAAGACAGACCTTTACCTTCTCTCACTCTCTCTCTCTCTCTCTTTCTCTTTCTCTCCCTCACCCTTCTACCCTTCTCCAAGACATCTTACGAGAACTTTGTTACCTTCTTCGCAAGCATGCTGGCAATTACGAGAGAATGAGAGAGAAAGAGAGAGAGAGGAGGGAGATGGGCAAGGTAACGTGAAAAACTCGCAAAGAAAGAGAACCAAAGGAGAAGGAAAAAAAAAAGGAAAGAAGAAGAGGAAGAAGGAAAAAAAAAGAAAAAGTATCTTAAAGAAAAGCTACCCTTCTCTGAAAAGACATCGACGAAGTTAGAACGAGAGTCACGCCAGTGTAAATTCTCACAGGTGTGTTCTCTCTCTCTCTCACGAACACCCCCTACTACACCACACCCTCCTCACCTCGGTTAGTTTTCTTTAAAACCCTCGTTTACACGCACAAAATTTTCTCTTTTCGACTAATTCGTTAAGCTAATATTTTCATATTTTATTTAGAATTTTTTATTTTGATTTCTTCTTTCCACGATTTTTCTATTCTTTGAATAAGAATAAATTGTCGATAAGAAAAAATACGACAGAGTTATGTATAATTAACAAAGTATAGATTAATATTTATTTAAATCGATTTAATATGATTCCGATTAAGCAGACTGTTAAAAAAATTTATACGAACGATTATATTAATATTACGAATATTTATAAACGTAGCAGTGCGCATAGATCTATGAAATTAATTGAATAAAATTAGATTTTATTTGAACGTTCTTTTAATTTTAGACTGGTCCGTTAACCGAAATACTTTTTCCATTAACCTTGTGAATATGTCGAATAAACATAATTAAAAAAAAAAAAGGAAGAAAAAACATTGCTGTTAAATATAAATTTGAAATAAGATACGCGAGTTAAATTTGATCTACGATTTGTTCGACGATTACTTAAATTCAATGTAAGAGAATAAATCATATCGTAGAAAAATAAAACGAAAAAAAGGGGAGAAAAAGGAAAGATGAAGGAAAAAGAAGAAGAAGAAGAAGAAGAAGAAGAAGAATAAGGAAAAGAATGAAGAAAAGAAAATATATATATCTTAGGGCAAAAGTTTGCGTATTCTAGGAGTTTCGCGTCGGCCAAAGGACGCGAGTGCTCTTACGCGTTACAACGGTGGAGGCCAATTACGGTAATTAGCCACGACCATAAACGAGTCCTCGTGAAGCGCGAGAAAAAGAGAGAGAGAGAGAGAGAAAGTTGGAAAAAGGGGAAAGGGAAAAAAAGAGACAATGCGACGCATACAAGTAAACGCAACAAACACATATACGCGTTAATATGTCATTCAAATCCAGTAAATAAAAACTAATCATTATATTTTCATTCTGAGAGTCTAAAAAATAATCGATAAATCATTTTTCTTCGGTATAGAATAAAAATGAGTACTCTATGAGCGCGAATATATATAAAAAATATAAATAAATATATATCCGCGAATATATATAATTGAAATTCAATAAATAATATCTAATCATTATATTTTCTCTCCGAGAGTCTAAAAAATAATCGATTAATCATTTTTCTTCGGTATAGAACAAAAATGAGCACTCTATGAGCGCGAATATATATATAAAAAATATAAATAAATATATATCCGCGAATATATATAATTGAAATTCAGTAAATAACAATTAATCATTATATTTA